AAAATTATTATAGTTGTCTTTATCATGTAAATGTCTTACAATATCAATATTAAATGCAACGTGAATTATGTATGTCATATAGTTCATGTGAATCATGTGTTCGTATATCTATCACATAAGTCATATCACTTGCATATACCAATCATATCATGTATCATATACTTGTCACATTATATCAAGTTGCACAAACTCAACATGCATAGACGCAATTCAATCAATTAAAGGCAAAAATGAAAAATCTATACTACCAACTTCTACCCTATTCATAATCAATTCATATAACTCTGATTACAATTCAATTCTTCTAACAACTCCTTTGATACCATAATTTGTTACACCCTATAATCTAATTTAGAAGAATTGTCTATTTATCTTTTTCATAATACACCAAAGCTTATATATTATCAATATAATTCAATGTATCCAGTCAAAGCATCTAACAATTATATATATCAAAATATTTCATTATATTCATTTTGTTAAAATTATGTATAAAATAATTAGAAGATCAATACAATTAATAATATATCAATGGCCTCTGACTTCAAAAGAATAAAAGGAAATACAAAGCAAAATCAAAAAGAAAACCTGAGAACATCTGTCAATCTCACTCCTCTTGATCCTGAACTATTACATGACCTGAAATCAATTAAAACCACATAATGAGCTTGTAAAGCCCAACATAAATCCAAAACTCGCTAAAAATTTTAATACAAGATCTAAGAAATCAATATGAATTAGGGCTGCAAGCGAACCAAATGTTCGATGAGCTACTCGTTGCTCGATTCGATTAAAGCTCGTTTGTGATCGTTTAATTAGCTAAACAAACAAACTTGAACAATATTTTAAATACTCAATTCTTAAATAAACAAACTTGAACACTAATGCGTTCGGCTCATTTATGTTTGCGAGCAACATCATTTGAAGTTCGTGAACAAGCTCGACATTAAGCTCAATAAGAAGCTCGATAAAAGCTTGATTCGTGTTCGATTTTGAACTCGTGAATAAGCTAGATAAAAATAATTAATATTTGACTATAAAATTAATAATATAAATAATCATTGCCTTTGTTACATAGACAATTGCTTTTATTATAAATGTGTTTGTTCATAGATATGTTCATGAACGTATTTGTTTGATAGTTAAAAAAAATCCATTAAATATGTTCGCGAACAAGCTCGATAAGCCCTAAACGAACGAACATGAACTGAACATGAACACTCATTAAACATGAACACAAACAATAAAGCTCAAACAAACATGAACCAAACTTGAACAAGCTAATATTAAATGAACACAAACATGAACACTCACATACTCGGCTCGGCTCGATTCGTTTGCAGCCCTAATATGAATGTTCATCTCAATGAATAGTCTCAGTAATGTTCAATATCATCAATGCTCAATTATCACTTCTATGATTCAATCAATATGATCAATAATGAGAAGTAGGAATCATTATACTTAAATCCGTAAATCGACATCTGTGCAAGGCTATAAATACATTGGTAAGCAGTAATAATAATCAATATCCATATCACTAGGATAATAAAAATATTAGAATAATAAATCCATACAATAAAAAGTAACTCATCGGTATTGAAATTATATGTGAGTCTATTGATGAATCATAAATATACATGTGTCATTCTCAATTTCATCACTATATATATATATATATAATCACTATTATCTATCATATATATTATACATCCAATGCAATTCATATGAAATATATGCATATACATTACTATGCTATCAATACATATATACATGCATTAGTATATATTTTAATAAGGCAGGTCATCCAGTTTTAATGTGATATTTTTATTCATTCATATAATAATCGATCATCTATTACAGGCTACAATCGAGATCACACCATAAATTAGGGGTGTAAGTGAGCCGAGTAAACTTGCAAGCTAGCTCGAGCTCATTAGTGGAGCTTATCGAGCCACGAGTTTGAGCTCCAGCTCAAGCCTGGCTTGACTCAAAAGTTTGTTGAGCCGCTCGATTAAATTAAAATATATTTAACTTAATTTAAAGTATTATTGTATAATGTATTTTAATAATTTTATATTAAAAAATAAATTCTAAAACAATTGAATTTTTAATTTAAAATTAAGAAATTGAGCTCAACAATCAAGCCGAGCTCGAACAATCAAGACGAGAGCTAGCTTATGAATTTTTTAACTAGTCAACCTCGAGCTTAATAAACGAGCTTGAGTCGAGCTCGAGCTCCATAACAACTAAACAAGCTTAGCTTGATTAGGCAGATGCTTGACTCGTTTACACCCTTATCATAAACTATCTTTAAAGGTAAGCCTGTTAGCCCACCCACCTATTTTAATAGACATCTCATATTAATTTATAATGTTAACAACCAATCTTCCTTGCTTATGAAAATATTATATTTATCTTATATCAATTGTAGCATTACCACTATACAATAACATTTATGAAATGCAATAAAATACTCAAATTTAAAAAAGGCAAGAGAATATATATAATATCTTATAACTTTAGAAAATCATAACTTCTAATTTATCGGATAAAATTCAATAATATTACAGTCAAAATATCTATAAAATTTGTATATATCCTATACGATAAGTTACATGATGAAAGTGCAGTAAATCAGGAAAAAAATATTTTTTTATCGATTTAGGAGAGAATAAATCCATCAAACTTAAAATCATTGAAAACTAAAATGAAATTTGGGTTACTTATAATAAAATTGACAAACGAAAAAGCCCCGAACACCCTTTTCTCTCCTCACTCTCTTTTCCTTCTTCTTCTCTGTGTCTCTCTTCCTTGCGCAACAAGTCTCGACTGGTTGGTTTTTAGTGCTTAGGCTTCAAATTATATATATATATATATATATAGTGGCCTAGCGCAGCAACGCTCAGATCCAGCGTCACAACGCTGCATGTTGAATATAGAATTATTGTAAAACAGAGCGTCATGCTCCTGAGCGGTCATTTTCAGTGCTACGGTGCTCCATATCATAGTGCCATTGCGCTCTTGTTCAAATATAAATTCAAAAATTTAACACTTTTTGTATTTTTGGGTTATTACATTACTTTTGTAATTTATCATGTATACTAGTGTCATATGCATATGTAAATAATGTAAGCAAGATGTGACCTCCAACTAATTATGATACTTTTCCTATATCAATCATGTAGGCTAACCCTATAGGAATTAGTTTCAAACATATAAATTCTATTTCTAAGAATCATTTTTATCACAAGTCATCAGTCAAATGTCTTTCATGTAAAAAGTCATCACTTTATGTCTATCGACGAATCATATCATATCAATCGGTCTTCATATACCTCTCTTTTTCATATCACTTAGGATTACACTATAACTTTTATTTAAAGAAAAGTTAATCAGCTCACCATCATGTATTGAATAACATTTTTACAACCAATCTGAATCATTTAGTATTTTTTAGCTATCATTTCTTTCTTTTACACACACTTTATATCATATAAATTATAGTAGCTAATACCACATATCATTAATTCAATTTCCAATATACTTATTAGCATGCATATAGTATGTCAAAAATGCAATTATATTAAATGAATAGTAAATAAGTGCATAGCGTGTATTCCATGTCTAAATGCAATACATTTATTTCTGATTATTTTATAATTAATATTATTCATTTAAAATGATATATAAGCAAAATTACACAGTAAAATTTTAATATCAACAAGTCAAAATGCTCATGATGATGACGACTATCACATATAAAAAATTACGTGATGGAAAATTCCTATAACGAGAGATATTGTATTTCAGTTAAATTTAGGAGAGATAGAATCCTAGAAAATCAGAACCACTGAAAGCATAAATAGGATTCATGTTGCTTGCAACAATCATCACACTTTTCTTAATTGGATTGTCAGAAAATAATGATTAAGAATGAGCTTTCTTTCTCTCTATTTCTCTTCTCCCTTTCTTCCATGGGAAGACATGCAAATGAAAGAGGGATGGTTGGGGTGTTGAGTTAATGAAATGAATTGAGATATTTTAATATTTAAATACCACCATTCCAATATAGCGCCTCGACGCTTAAGCTCACAGTGTTGCTACACTCCACGAGAATCTTCTAGATTCTCCCAAAATATCTTCTCCTGAGACTCCAAACTGGGCTGAGCTACCTAGCGCCATAACACACACTCCCCAATTTTTGTCCATTTTTTCATTAGCAAAAAGCCGGGGTGCCACGAACCTCAACACTGCGGAGCCTATAGAACAATTTTTGAAAATTACGCTATTACATATGCTAAGTTTGGGTATGATTTATTCTAGGTTCGAACATGGCTTGAACATTGTTTGATCATGATTATAGCACCTAATATGATGTTTAATGCACTTTGAGGTTTAAATTTTAATGCACAAATAATATTCGAAACTACTATCATAATTTAGTACCTTATTCATGTTTTAAACCTAAATTGTCCTTTATTCTCCTTCTTATTATATTTCGTAATTATTAATGATGAATGCTTTTCAAATTTGAATAACCAAAAATATAAGATCACTAATCATGACTAAAATATGGTTGGAACATAGAGACTTCTACTGTTGCAGACCGACCACATCAACTCTGAGATCACAATAGAAGTGGTACTAGTTTGATGGACATTCAAGAATCTTAGTTGTTCAAAAGTTCACATAAATTATATAATTATATCTATTAAAATTAATGAATTTAAAATAATTTGAAATTAAAATTATATGAGAAAATGTCATGATGTTATGAAATAAATTATATTAAAATGTAAGAAATTTATTATTTATATTTTAAAATTAAAGAACTAATTTTAAAATAAATTAAATAATTTTAAATGACTTTTTTATTTAGATTGGGAACATAAATCCCCTAAATAAAAAAAACTAAAATTAATAATTATGATTAAAATCAAAATTTTCAAAAACCTCAAAATTCATTGCGATCCATTTTACAAACATCCCCTAAAGCCCATATCTTTTTGCACTCTCAAAATGGTCAGACGTCTTCGATCCTCGAGTTTTCCCTCTCACGTGACCCATTCGTCCGCTTAATCTGTTAAACCCTAAAAACGCCCCGGCGGGGAGATTCTTCTGGCCGCCGCCGTTCGCCGCAATCCTCCCATCCCATGTTACCATTTTCTTTCCCCTCATATCATATCGCGTTGGTCAAGAGATCGTCCTCGTTCTTGTTCCTAACCCTAACCGTCGTTTTCTGCGGTTCCACACATGCCACATGGCAGCCGATCTCATGCTTCTGCCTGTCTCCGAAGTTTTTGCAGTGGTTTTACTGTATTTCGTCTCTCCTGGACTCTACTGATGGTTTTTGGCTTAATTAAAGCATCCTTATCCGCTTGCATCCTTTCCCTTCTTCTGAAAGTTGGTGGCAGTGTTACTTGTAAGATTGAGGTCCAGTAGAGGCTTTTTAGTTTTTCCTGAGGTTGAAAAAAGTAAGTATTCACTTCATCCACTAATTCTGATTATGTTCTTGCCGTTCTTTTTTCTTATTTTCCCCATTTAATTATTCCCTGATACAGAATGTTCATTATTTTTCAGTAGCTCGTAAGATATGATTGTGAGGTGGCTGTTGATTGTCAAATTTGGTTTTCTGTTCTTTCTATGTTAGTCACCCTGCTTGCATGTAGTTTAAATTGATAGTGGATCGTTATATTTAAGAGAGAATGGTAACTTTCCATGATTTATATGGTTTGGAAAGTGATATTTTGATTATTAATGCTGTTTCGCTAGTTTAACTTTATTTTATGAGTAACGATGCACTTGTTTTTGGTAATGGCTCAGTAGTTTATAGCGTAGAAATTAGAATGGAAGAAATTTATTTAAATATTGTGAGGGCAATATATTGGAAGATGCTATTACTTGAAAAAATTAACAATATTGATATGCTTATTGGCAGTATAAAGATTCCTATCACGATTAACTGTTTGTACAAAAAGCAATAGTTTTTGAATTCCTATAGTAACACTTCTTAAATAACCATATTCTCTCTGTTTTGTTTTTAGGTTAAGAAAAAAAAATCGTTGATTTTGGGGAAAATGATGCTCAAAGTTGATTTAAATAGATAGATGACTGGCATTCATTTTGAGTTTTAGTTATCAATGGCAAAAAATGGAAGAGACTTCATATTGATGTAAGAGGCAAAAAAAATGGAAGAGACTTCATATTGATGTAGGAGGCAAAAAAATGTAAGAGACTTCATATTGATGTAAGAGGCAAAAAAATGGAAGAGACTTCAAAAAAATGGAAGAGACTTCATATTGCTCTTTATCTATTTTTTAACTACAAACTGTGCATTGGGTTGTTCAATCATTTGGGCTTGGTTGTATCCCTAGTATCCTTGGAGATTATTTTCAAAAAACTTTGGAATCATGCTAGTTATATTAATTTGACAAGTTATGAGCATATCATCATCATCATTAGTCTTATCTCAATTACTTGGAGTTGACTTTATAAATCTTCATTTTTCATTAGTTATTGTTGAGTGCTATAGAAGGGTTTTACCTATTTTTCACAAATTTTTTATGAACAACTTCTATCCACGTTACCCATTTTCCTTTATAATTCTTCAATCATAACTTCGTCTACTCAATTGGCTTATTTTCTACCCCTCATTGGACATGTTCATACCACTTAAGTTAATTTTCATTAACATTATTTTTAATAGATATTTCTCTATCCCTTTAATATAATAATTCGAACCAGCGTAACATTATCCTTTATAATTTGTCAAATTTATTTTAGCATTCTCATTTTTGTCTTGCTCAACTTTGCTATCAAAATTTTTTTGTTGCCCACCTAATTATATTTTTTATTACATTTAGCTTGGATTCTCCATAATTCTCTCTTATTGCATAATGCTTCTAAGATGATTCTCCATTTTGACCACTGACTCATCCTTAACTCTAAATTATATTATTAACTATGCCATCACCTCTTTATATAATAGATCCAAGGTATTTAAATATATTTCACTACATATTACTTTATTTTTGAATAATATTTACTACTAATTAAATTATAAATTATGGTCTATTTTTGTTCTATTAATTCTAAGATATTTATATTCTAAATATTCTTTCCATTGTTTTTTTTTAAATATTTTTATTTCCATAGTTTTATCTTTCACTTATTCTTAGAAAAAGATCTCATTGATTAAAATTATGCCATTTGCAAAATGTGTACATCAAGACACTTCACTTTGGATATCCTATTCAAGCATCTCATAACCACTAAATGTCTATCTTTGATCACTCCATGATGGCTTTAAAATTAGTTGACACTCCATATATATATTTGTCTTTAGTAAGTGATAAACAATAGGCACATAGTGTTTTCTCATCATCTATGTCTTCTATTGACACTTTTATCATTTTTTAATAAATGATGTGCCTAAAAATAGATGCTATTTATTTATAGTCTAATTATTGAAGATCAAGATGATACCATGGAGTCATGGGGATTTCTTTGACAACTTCGTCAGGCTACTATTTAAGGAACTATTTTGATATTGTATGCTTATAACATTATCAATTATTTTCACAGTATTATTCATGGCACTACAATGTTATCGTTCCCATTATTGTGGAGGCATTGCTCCTTGTATTGTAGTAGTCCTATATTTTAGTTTTTAATTTAGATTTATATTTTAATCATTTTTTTGTTTTCTGAGAATTTGGCTTTAACGAGTGTCTACATTTATTACGTTTAAGTCTTGGCTTTCTATAAGTTTAATATTCATCATTCGTTGTGGTTGAAAGTAATATAATGGTATATAGGTTTAGGTTTGCAATGGTTTGCATACTTCTAGAAATTGAGAGGTTCTTTCTTCCTTAGAGGATTCCAAGAACTCATTTAGCATGAAGCAAGAACATAATTTTACCCTTTGAAGCATTTACAAGAAACATCAACCTATTCTATATCAAATATATTTCTTCTGACTTTACTAATATATACTGATATTACAGTTCTAATATGTGAGATGATGGTTGGATTCAATGTATTGCTAGATCAAACGATGAGCACATTTTTAGTATGAGTGGCTTGAGTTATTGGAAAAATGATGGGCTAAATGGCATTTGATAAGGTTTCATATATCTTAAAAAAATTCACTTTGATCAGCACAAAGCTTGATGCAATGTTTGTTTTGGAAAATTTCATTATTAATTTTAGAATCATTCACAGTCTAATTTAACTAACTCATAGTTAAATTGAGGGTCTTGACAAGATGAACCCAACAATAACCAGGGTGACTCCCAGATTAAGTATTTGAAAGATAGTAAAAAACTTTGGGGCATTAATTGGAGGAACAAATTGCATCCAAATCTTGCGTACTTATAGTCAAAATGAGCGACTCGATGAGACAAATCAAACAAACCTAAGATCACTTGATTTTGAGGCCATCGACGTACTTAATGATGAATAGATGGTCTATTATCAAATGTTTCAATATGAGACATTTGATAGTGTTATGGAATTATGGCTAAATTTGTTAAAATGCCCACTTTAAAAGTATTATAAATAGACATTCATTCTCTATATGAAGGTGACCTAGACTTGAATTTGGAGAGCTTGGTGATATGAAGAATTTAAGAGCTATACTTAACTTAACATTCAACCTGACGATTATCACCAGCCACTAGCATTGCTTGATTGTCATTGTCTGACCATCATTGTTTGATTTTCATTATTTGATCGTCGTTGTATGGCTTCCATTGTTTAATTGCCATCACTAACTGCCATCATCAGGCTGGCATCTCCTAACCACTATCGCTGTATGTCTAGCATCCTCTCACATTTATAAAATTACAAACTTGTTTTACATACTTTATAATCCCATCTTCAATTAAAGGGAAGAGCATACTTTTGTAACCTATTTATATAATTGATCATTTTATTTGGGTCACGCCTTGTGATTTTTTTCTACACTTTTTGGTGTCTATTGCATTCTTTATTATCTATGTGTTTGTTGGATCTTCGTGAAAAGTTAAGATGTGAAACTATATTTCTATCACAATGAATTTGAAAATGACAATCGGCAAAGGTCATCTCAGGTTAAAAGATTATAGATTGATACATTGGTATGAAAGATATAGCTATTAGGTTTTTGGCTAATAGTTTAGAATTTGAGGTGACTAGTGCTTTATGATAAGAAAATATATGACAATTTAAAGAGTAATATTAAAAATAAAAATAAAACCTATTGTGCCTAGATCTTGGTTTTGAGTTTACAAGTTTGTACAAACAAAAAGGTTTAATGTGTCAAAAATTAGAATGCCAAGGCAGAATAAAATTATATTAAAAATCTTGTGAGAGTAGCAAAAGGATAATGTAATTAAAAAATATATTTACATTGCTTACTATTGAAATAAGCATGATCATTGTTAAGATTGGGGAAAACGTTGTTAAAGGGCTCACCGATACTTTAAAACCAAATGATCCTATCGTGGCTTTAAACTTTAATCAATGAATTGTGGATTACTAAAGGCAACATAGTTTATTCTGGTAAGTTGTTTTTAATGATGATTTATATTTACACGTGTTTCTGTATGTTTTCTGTGGTTTTATTACTTATATCTTGCTTTTTTAAGTTCCTGAAATATGCAATGCTTAGTGGGAAGCAACCTTTTTGGCAGATTCTCCAATGTTTAGTGCAATTTGATTTGGTTATAAATCTAGCTGATGTATATAAGTTTTCAATATCAGTTTAGTAGCTATCCATCAATTAAATTGATTCAATAAATAAGCAAGTGATGGAAAAATCTTGCTGGCATCTTTCTCGTTAAAGATAAAATAATCAACATGCGTTGTTTCATCATGTACTATAGAGAGAAGAAATAAGATCGATAAGGCTAGGTCATACATGTCTATGGTACAAAATAGTGTGCACTATGGCACATCCTTGGGGTCATTTGCTTGGTGCAGTGCATATGTTCAAAATGATGCATGCTATTTGTGCCACAAGAGCAATAACGCATGGTGTAAAACATACATGGCGCGCACTATTTTATTTTGTTTTCAATTTAAGATTAATATTTATGTTTATATTTATTAATTTTCTGATTTATTTAATAACTTAATAGTGCCACCATTATATGTAAATGTGCCTTAATTAAAAAAAAAGGGCATAAGTTATTTAGAAAATATCTTTTATGTTTTATTGAATCGGTTGATGCCACATATGTGTTATTTGTTGTTTACTATTTCATTCACACATTTAAAAGAAAGGTAAAAATATTTGAATACATACTTGCTTATAAGTATTTGAAAAAATATAGTTCAACCCACAAAAAAAGATATTACTTGAAAATATGTAATATTGACAAATAAATGTGATAATAATTATAGGACATGTATTTTTTGTGGCAAATGAAGAGGATTATGAATTATGAGATGATGTTGATGAAGAAAATGGGGCTTTTTTATATTTGATGATGATGATGTCTGACTCCTCTTAAGAAGATTACTTTAATTTCAGACAGAAGTAATAGACTTGAAAAAATGGTTATAATGTTTTGAATTTTGAGTGATTGAGGTGTTGATTAATTGAATTTAAACATCACTTTGGATATTTTTATTATCATGATGATTTATCTTTCTTTTTAATGATATTTCATATTAATATATGAAGAAATTGTTTAGAGAGAAATTCAAATTCTATTCCATCCTTGGAATCATTACATATATATACATTCTAGGAGAATAAATAGAAAAAGGAAAGACAACTGGATCCCTTGGTTGCGTGATTCAGCAATATATATTTTTATTTATAGTTATATAATATTGTGCGCTATGTTTAAAATTGCGCGTCTCGAGTTGTGTGCTATGCGATATGGCTCTATGGGAAACTTTGCACTATGCTGCACCATTCACCATTGATAAAGTATGGGCTAGGTAAAAAAAAGATGTTAAATGGATTGGAGGGGTTCACCAATACTTAATACCAAATGGTCTCAATGTCACTTAAACTTGAATCAGTGAATCAACCCAATTTGATATGGCAAGGTGTTTTTGTATCAGAATTCTATATGTGCGTCTTTCTATATGCCCTTTTTTTTCAATTTAATTATTTCTATGTTTTCACTTGAAGTTCCTCAAAATGTTGCATTGTGTGGGGAAGTAACCTTCTCAGTGGGTACTGGCATATTCTATCATAGGTTTAAAATTGCGCAATTGTGCAACAGAGGCGCGCCTCAGCTTCCATGAGGCGTACGCCTCACCACTGCCTCCTATTGCGTATGCCTTGAGGCGTTTTTTTCAGGAATTGCGCAGAGGCGCGCCTCAAGGCGCGCCTCTTATTGCGCAATTTTAAACCATGATTCTATGCAATATGATTTGTTCTTAATCTTGATGACTTGCGTTTCATGAGCGAGTCCTCAAATTAAATTGATTTATCTTGTTTAGAATCTTTGTATTGTTTTGATTGATAATTTTTTAAGGAACAATGCTTATCAATCGAACATGCTAAAGTAGTGAAGTGCAATGCATTGGCTCAAGGTTTAAGATTGCACAAGTGGTTCAAGTGTTTTTTGTCTGTAAGGCGAAGCATTTTTAGGTGTGAACCTCATACTCAACAAATTGTGCAAGTAATAAGAATTGTACACACATCAAAGTATGAACTAAAAAATAAAATTAGTTTTTTAACTAATTAATATATTAAAAAGTAGCCCATTAACATTCGAATATAGTGAGTCAGAAATTGCACAACACATCAAGTAACAAGTTAACATCCCAACATCAAATAATGAAGTAAGAAGTGTTATATAAACATCGAAGTAAGACTTTCTTGTGGAGGAAGTAAACTTGGCAAGGAGGCGGCGAGGAAGGAGATGGGTGGTAAAGTGTGTGTGGAGGCATGGAGGAGGGATTGCGGGAAAGCAAAGGTGCTTTGGTATTGACTATCCTATGAGATTGAGTGTGTGTGTGACTATTATTCGGGTAAGTAGAACTGTTTTATTAAGTTTATATTTCTCATATTTGTTTTTTTATAAATATACCCTAACTATAAATTGTGCACATTTCACCAAAACTAATGTGAGGCATGCCTGATTTGACCGCATTGTGAATTTTCCAAAAAAAAACAGTTGAGACGTGCATCATCTTGTGCAATTTCAAACCATGCACCATCCATTATAAACTCGCATTCAATCTTGAGTTGTGCCTGTGCGCTAAAATTGTAATTTACATGTCACTGGCTGAAGATGTCTAATATTGATGCGATGAATTTAACAAGGCTGCTTAGTAATTACTAATAGAAATTCAGCTTCATCATTAATTACCCGCTTAGATCTTTTGCACATCTTTCTTGTTCTCGTTGACATTTTTTTACTATTGTGGAGCAAATGCATATAATTGTTCTTATATTTTTGAATAGCTGTTCCATAAGTTTCAACTTTGCATTTAAAGCTTTATTTTAGTTCCAGGATAGCATTAACCTATTATCTGGCTCTTAGACTTCATCTCTGTTTGATTTTGTTCTCTCTTCTTTTTGCATGCTTGTAGGATTCCAAAATAAGAAACAAACATGATGGGCATCAAGGCTCAGCCAGCTTCTACTAATTCACCCAAAAAAGAGGTGGGAGAGATAGACACTAGGGCACCCTTCGAATCTGTCAAAGCTGCTGTCAGCTTATTTGGTGAGGTTGCATTTTCTGGTGATAAATCAACTTCAAGAAAGCAAAAGAGTCCATCATATGAGGTAAACTTTGCGAAATGGTTTGTCTAACTTTCCCTTTGTTTATTCAATATCTCCATGAATTTTATTGTACGGTATTACCAGCAATTTGACTGTGTAAGCAAGTTAACAAATTACTCAATAATAGAAATATTGATAAAAGTAACCAGGTGGAAATTGTTGTCTGTGAATCTTTCAAATCTATTTCTATACTCTTTGGATACATAAATCAATACTTGCTAATCTCAATGTGATATTTTGGATATGCAGCTGCGATTTTAAAGGTATGTTCTCCACCATGTGCTGTAAAATTTTTATCTCCATTCTTTGTTTTGGCATTTCTCCTATAAAGTAGATGCAGCTAGTGTTGTAACTTGCTATGTGACTGTATAATTCACATACATGCATTGCGGTGGGAACTAGTCCTAAGAGGTTGCTGAGTAATGAAATCCTACGAATTATTGGACTGATTTTGTTTATGCATGGGCTCTTAGGTGGTTTGGGATTGTTCAAAAAAGTTTAGCAAATACACAATATAAATGGTAGATAAAATCAACGTGTAGGGATTGAGAGCAAAAGTGGATATGTTAAAAGCAACATGAATAGTAGAAGTACAATAAAATTTGCACAAAATAAATTTAAAATATGAAACAGCACTTAATAGTAATGAATGAATGATGAGAATTCTTGCAATAATTCTGAAAGATGACAACATGCTAACTATATTCACAGTAACGTACCAAATAACAGCACTGTCTTCTGTTGATTGAACGATCTTACAAGGCAAGAGATAACAAGAAAGAATATATGATGCTTAATTGTAGAACTAGTAGATTGATACTCATTTGGGATATGGCTAATGATGATCCTGCTGATGGATACTCTTAGTTTGCAAACCTGTAGATTTTGTGTTCGACTGTTTGTACTGTTCTTTGGTATTGGATTGTGATTATAGTTGGCATGGTTATTTATTCCCTTGAGAAGAACTTGCGAAACTTGTTGCTTGTACTACTTGATAAGAGAAACCAAAGCTTTTTTCATTGAACCATAAAAAAAATAATGGCATAGTGTTACCTCATGCCTTCCGAAATTGCTCAGTCAAAAGAATTGGCTAGTTTGATGGGCCTTTGCTGTGTAGTGCAAATAGAATTTGTTTTCTCTCCATTGTCGTTTGTATTGTTTAGAAAAAAAATCTCTTCCTGGAAGAATATATTTATGTTTTTTTTTTCTTCTTTGAAACTCATATAGGGCTTCTGTCTGCTCTCTCTGTTTTTACAAACACCTCATTGCTTTGCTAACTGAACGCCCACCCTTAAGACTGAGATACCTGCGGGATTTTACCAGTGAAATCTTTTAGAAAAAGTACTTGCTAACAATTGTTGGTAGGTTTCATTTATTGGTAACATTAATTTATATCATAAGAATTTGTGGCTTCACCAAACAATCTCCATTGTCAATATGGATCTTTGTCTCTTCCTATTATATCATTAGTAACTCTAATTATATTGCAGTGGCTAACTCTAATTATATTGCAGTGGCATTATTGTTTTCTTTTTTTTTTATTCTTACAAACTATTTTTCTCAATTCTTTTGCGTAACATCTGTGACATTATTTCATTTTTTGTTTCATGAGCTAAAAATCAGCATAGTTTCTTCTAATTTGGCATTAGATTGATCATTGATTGATAAACTTTCTATCGTCTGTTCTAATTTTGATTTATTAGAACTTAAAAAATGATACCTGAAATTTAAATTATTGCAACTGTCTTGCTTGGGTGTGAAGCAGGCATTTCTTTCTAACAGAAAATATGCACACGGAATGAAAGAATAGTTTTTTAGTTTGATTTTGGTTTTACTCGGGCTAAATAAGACCTTGAGGGGATTTAACAATGCCAATTTTTACTTTAATGCTGCTTTTTCTTTCATGCTACAAATATTTGGCTTCAGTCAGTCTCAATTTAAGTCAATTATAATTTAAGCAAGACATGAAATAGTTATATCCAAATGGAATTAATCAACAAGCATAAACTACTTTTGTAGCAAAAGCACTTCAAAGGAGAAAATTGAGTTCAAAATTATGCCTCTGACAAGTAGAACTTAATTATGAAGGCAACAGTTACTTTTGTAATTCGATGCTCATGATCTTTATGACAATCTAATAATGAGTCAATTCTCACTAGAACTTCGAGCATTAAAAGATAGTTTTGACCTCCATAGTCCATAGTTTGTAGCATGAGATTATGAGTTTTTTTTACTTGATTTGGATATCTGCCTCTGCCTCTGCCTTTGCCTTTGCCGAATGCTTTCTTTTCTGCATGCTGATGATTTTACTTTCTGATTGAATTATTTTTGAAGTTATTATTGATAAGTATTTTCATTTGTAATAGAAAACATTAGCAACAGAGACTAAACTCCATATAGCCCAAAAGGAGCTAAACAAGTTTAAGGAGCAGCTGCATAATGCAGAAACAACAAGGGTTCAAGCACTTGCTGAATTAGAAAAAGCTAAGGAAGCAGTTGAGGAGCTGACACAAAAACTGATTACAATCAATGAGTCTAAGGAGGAAGCATTAAAAGTAACAGAAGCTGCAAAAAGCCAAACAAAGCTACTTGAACAGGAAAGCCCTATGGACCATTCTGAAAAGGATGTTTCCTGGAAGAACGAACTTGATAGTGCCAGAGAGCAGTATGCAGCTGCCCTCTCCAAACTGGATGCAGCAAAGCTGGAGCTTAGGAGGATCCGAAAGGAATTCAATACGTCAATGGATGCTAAAGTCACTGCCATCCACCAGGAATTCGAAGCAAAGCAGCTCTCTGATGCCAATAAAGAGAAGGCCGCTCAACTTGCTAAGGATATTGCAGCTGTGCAGGAGTCACTTGTGCATGTGAAACTTGCTACTGAACAAGCCCAACAGGATGAGTCAAAAATCCGTTCAGAAAAGGAGACCAGTAGACAGTCTTACAAGCTGGCCATAGAGGAGAATGAGGCCAAATTGGCCTCTTTAAAGAAAGATTTTAATCCTGAACTTCATGAAGACCTAAAGAAGAAGCTGGAGGAGACTGAAGCTCAAATTGATGCGATTCAGAAGCAAATGAAAGAGGCGAGGGCATCAGATATAGAATCTATTGCCACAGTGACAACTGAGCTGGATGGTGCAAAAGAGTTTCTTCAGAAAGTCGTAGAGGAGGAAACCTCTCTCAGGAGTGAGCTGGAGTCATTGAAGCTGCAGCTGGAAATTTTGAAGAAGGAGAATTCTGAACTTCAAGTTAAGGATGCAGAAACTGAAGCCCTTGCTTCAAATCTTCATTTGAAGCTTCAAAAATGCAAGTCTGAACTCGAGTCTGCCATGCTTGCTGAGTCAAAGGCAAGCTCAACTTCTGATGATCTAACATCAGCCCTCCAGCAGTTGTCTGCGGAGTCCTTATCTGCACAGAAAGAAGCTGAAGAGACGAAGATGAAGGCTGATGAGTTGAGGAGTGAAGCTGAAGCAGCCAAGATTACCTTAGCAGAGGCAGAGGTGAAGCTGCAGGTTGCCTTGAGAGATGCTGAAGAGGCAAAGGCGGCAGAGACAAGGGCCCTTAATCAGATCAAGGAGCTATCAGAAAAGGCCAATGCAGTCCGGTCCTCGACCTCAGAATCTGGCGCAAAAATCACAATCTCCAGGGAGGAGTATGAGTCTTTGAGCCGGAAGGTCGAGGAGTCAGAGAAGTTGACAGAGATGAAAGTTGCCGCCGCAATGGCTCAGGTGGAAGCTGTGAGAGCTAGCGAAAATGAGGCAATCAAGAGGCTGGAGGCCGTCCGGAAGGAGATTGAAGACTTGGGGTTGGCCGCAGAAGATGCGCTGAAGCGAGCAGACATGGCAGAAGCAGCAAAGAAAGCTGTAGAGGGAGAGTTGAGGAGGTGGCGTGAGAAGGAGCAGAAGAGAGTTGCTGAAACTGCAACGCAGATTCTAGCTGAGACCACCGCGCCCGGTTCTGTCCAATCTACACCTCCAAGGGCTAAAATTCCAAAGGCGAATCCACTGCCACCCTTGGACAAAAATGAGCGCAAGGAGAACAGGACACCCACAAAGAAGGCTCTGATTCCAGTTCTTAGTGGCATGTTCAACAGGAAGAAGAGCCATGCTGATGGCGGCGGGTCGCCGTCCTTTACTCAAACTGAGAAACATGAGAAGCATACATGATTGCTTCCTATTTCATAATCTCAGAATTTCCTCTGGGATTGATTTAGTTTGATTTTGGTCAAGACCTGAATCAAGAATGTGACTGGATGGGCCCTGTTTATGTATAGCTCAAGCTGGGTGAGCTTGTTTCACATGCTCTTATTTTTTCTCCAGAACTGTAATCAGATGCCTTAACTGCAGCCACTGCAGCTCTTCCTGTGCTTCTGGTTGTTTATGTAATGCCTGGGAATGAATTTTTTTTCTTTCTGGACAATCTTGTACCTGATTCAAGTTTCCATCTGTATGGTATTTCATCATCTATAACTCTTCTGTGATGCTTTTGTGTTAAACGATTTGAGAATGACTTTAAATTTATGTGAATCTTTTGAAGTATCTTTCACTTTACGTGTAAATAATGTGGACATGCCATTGTCAGATTGATGGCCCAGCCATTGAGAAATTATTTTGTGCGGAAGTTGGACACAGTTTTATGTTCGGAGGCGAATCAGGTGCAGCTACATCAGCAGTACCGAGCCTCGGTACTGAGCGGTAATGAGCAGTGCCAAGTCGCGGTACACAACGATGGGGTGATGTGAATAATTTTTTCCAACCATCAGGATAAATCTCAGTCGCCCGGCTTCAATCACATGGAATCAATGGGTTTGTGCTATGCTGATGTGGAAGTTCTTGCATAATATGAGATGTAGAAAGGTGCTGGTGCATAGTGTAATTAATGATTTATAGTTGTTTACACATGTAGTGCCCATGGCATCCAAATATGACTTGGGATGTTGGCTCGGTATGCCCAAAGTATGTGCTGCCTTTTAGCTTTGATTGATGTAATTGATGTGGAATGCTAGATGGGCCTTCTTTTATCATTGGTGGCAGGGAATAAAATGCCAAGTTTGATGGATGTAATAGGTACTGAATGAAAGTAAAGAATTAAGGCTCAAGATAGTATAGCATCAGTGTATAAGTCAGTATTTGATATAATATATACTTTTTATTTATTGAGTCATTTTCTATATTAGGTGTATGTTGGTTAAGCAATCGTGCACACATAGAAGGGGAGTAAAATTTAATATTTAAAACTTTTTGTTAAGCATATTGTACAATCCAATTCGTAATGTACGATCTATTAAAATATAAATTAATTTAAATATTTAATCAAATGAGATTAAATTAAATTGGGCTATAACTAGATCTGTCAATTTAAAATAAATTAATTGTATAATAGTATTATATAACCACCATATCGCACAGAACGATCAACTAGAGGTGTCAATTTCTGACATGACCCAAAAACCTGACATGAAAAATCTAGGTTCAGTCAACCCGTGAAAGAAACAGGTCAGATTTGGGTCTAATTTGTAGACACGTTTATATTTCGTGTTGGGTTAGGGTCAACCCGTCAACCCACGGGTTGACTTGAATAACCCGTGAAGCTCTTATGGTTATATGTGGATTATTATAATGACTGAGTTTGATTGTTCGAGGCATCGAGATTTCGATCTTCCGTCAAGGCGTCAATTCGTTCCACTCTTTTGTCTTTTCCTGTTTTAGGGTTCCATTACTCCTCGCTCTCTCTAGGCAGTCTAGGGTGAGGAGTTGGAGGTCTCTTAATATCTTCTTCTCTTGACCTCTCGGCTATGGTGAATCGTCTGGCTTCTGAATTCCTCCTTGAATCCTCTTCCTTCTCGGTTGTGACTTATAACGGTTGGTAATATCTTGAATAAATCTTTTTTTTTTTTTGGACTATCAATGTGATGGTGGTTTTGATTTTCAATTTCTATTTTAGATTATGTTATTTTTTATGTAGGATTTGTTCTTTCATTTTTCCCTAATTTGGTCGGTGTGAGATTGTCAGTGTGACGGTGTTTCTGGACTTTCCTGCTTCCGTATGAGTTATGAGTGTATGACCGACAAACCGAGCTTTTTGTTACTAGTCGGCTATGTCGCACACCTGCACGGTTTGATTAGGGCTTGCTGCTGTTACATAGTTAGAGTGTAGTTTAGTGTTGTACTATTGCAGTGTTGCTCTTGCTATTGAGATTAGGGCTTAAGCCTCTTGGAGTTGGCGGCTTGCTTCCTGCAGCCTGTTATGTTGCAAAAAATAGAAAAAGTGGACTACTTAGGATGTGATATAATAACTATAATTTTAGTTATAAAAGTCATATTATCTCTACTATTATAATATTATACTGTTATGTAGACATGTAGTGTTATCATGTTATGGAATATGAATAATAATTTTGTATTGATTGCCTATTTGGGCAATGGGCTATGAGTTATTGAGATTTATATGGCGATGATATAGAATTTGGTGAAGTTATGCATCAGTTGCGACACACAGTTAGATGCAACCGAGTTATAAATTGGTAAAAGACCAAAAGAAATTTACATTGGGTTGAGCAGATACTATTTAATTGAATATAAAATTACTAATTTGTAACCTTGGATGGCACACTTTCTGTTATTGCTACAGCTGATGTTTCTTAGCTAGGTTCACCCTGAGCCAACGGCTTTGGTTGCTAGTAGTCAACGAATTGTTGCTTTTATTTGTTGTTTTCTTTTTGCATTGCAAGTTAAATTATGTCTAGATTGAAAGA